TCCCCACTCTGTCCCTGGTGAATCCTCTCACCCTCCGCATCTCTGCCCTGTACCCCAGTTCTGTACGAATAAATAAATAAATCTTAAAAAAAAATCTGAACAATTGAAATGGCCCTTTATTATTTTAACTTTCCCTAAAAATACTTTTATTGCTCAACTGTATCACTTGAGATGAACACTACATGTACTGAGAGTCCTTATCAAAGCAAGAGTTGCTTTCAAACCTAGGGAAGACTAGTTCAAGTGTATAAGAAATCACTCTAAGTAGCCTGAGATCATCTGCAGTGAGATATGGATGACCAGGAAGCACTCTGTGATTGCCTTGAGGGCCACAAAGATATATTACTAGGTAAGAGCATGCCCATATATTTCTAACTTTATGATAGCTAGTATTTCACAATCTTTTGAAATACATTTCTATAAGTTTATAAGCATGCAACATATATATTATATATATTTTTTTCTTAGCTTGAGTTCTTAGATCCACAATGAAATTTTGTTAACAGAGGGCAGTTACTGAATGTGCTTGAGCCTAATTTTGCTTTCTTTGGAAATAGACCATTAATTTGTCCCAGTGACTTTGGTCATAAAAGGGTGTTGAGATAAGAAAAAGTGTGCAAGGTTCAAACAGAAGCTACATATGGTAGCTTATGTCTGACAGAATCATGGCAGAACATGGAATCTCAAGTTCAGTTTCAAAAGTCATGTTATTATCACTACATCAAAAACTGTGCTTTAAAAATGTTAAATCTTTAATAGCAGGATCCAGAATCTCCACCTCTATTGAGAAAATAGACTCAAATGAAAATGAGTGGTAATACAGTCTTTGTTGATAAAGTGACATTGTACTGTGGCCGCAGCTATGTTTGAATGTATTGCTCCAAACTCTATGTTCCCAGTCTAGTTGTGAGAGTAGCTATGGGACTATCTGATCACACACATAATCAAGAATGTTCAACCATGCTACTTCAGTTTCCTAAATTTTTTCTATTGAGGACAAAAACCCTCTATTGTCTGTTTTGAAATTATATAGAAAAATTCCTATGGCCATATAATATTCTTGGTCAAGAAAACTGGGGGACACTTTGAGGGAGAACAAGTTTCTCCTCACTTAATAACATATGGCAAATATTTCACTAAGATGGTAGGAAGGTGAGGATGAAGAACATGGGAGTATCCCGAAATTTTCTACACATAATTTAAGATTCTTTCCAACAAAATGATGCTTATAATAAAGGCAATATTGAAATTAAATGCCACGAGCTGGGACTACATTTTTAAACATAAAAAATAATAGTTTGTTATAACAAAAAGTAAACCAAAGGGTTAATACTCTCAGTCTTAAGAAAACTTATGATGATTTTTAATTGACATTTCTGAAGGAGAACAGGGACAAGGAAGAGTGTTTTCTTCAAAGTGACAGTTAAATGTGTGTGTGTGTGTATATGTGTGTAAGTAGCACATAATTAATAAGCATATGCTCACAGACAATTTTTCTGATTCTTTCTCTGCTGGTAATATCATTTTGGTTTATACTCAGTTTTGATATTCTATTATTCAGTTTGGGTTTACGCCACGTCAGAAGTTGTCAATGGCCTTCAAGTCCTAAATGAGTTGTGTTGAACATCTAATTTCTTTACTATTGAGAGTCAGTGGAATAGCAGAATTTGTGAATTTTGTTGGAGTTATAAATAGCTGTTATTCATATAGTCTGTTATATAGGAGTTAGGAAATCCTCTTTATATAAAGTTTCAGCATAAGAGTCTCTTTTAAGCATGTAAGCTCTTTATATATTTATGATTTTGAAATGTAAATAAGCTAAAGTTTATATTAATTAATAGAAATAGTAAATATAAAAGTGGAAGCATAGAAAGTATAAATAAAGCTCAACGAGTATTTCTAAATTCTTTAAGAACAATGCCCAAAATGAAATATTTGAAACCGAGTTAAGTGATGCTTCATTCAGTGGTTCATTGAATGCAGACATCACTATTCCACCTACATTTTGAAGACTTTAAAAAAGTGACTTGCTGGTTTTAATCATAATTTTTAAATAGCAGTCCTAATGTCTTAGCACAGAGGGGAAAAAAAGAAAAAGAAAAAGAATATAATTTTCAAGTGATATTCAGATTTCATCTTTGGAGGATAAAAAGTCCAATAACCAGAAGCTCAAAAAGGGCTTGATCTTATGATCTTATGATCTTAACAATCTTTACTTTCTCCATAATTTTAAGTTACACCCCACTGTTTTTATGTTTTTAAAAGCTGTTTATCCAAAACTGGCCTTAGTAATAAAAAGAACAACACAGGACAAAGAGAGAATGTTGACCGGACAGAGATGAATGAAAAGCGAGTTATTCTCAGAATACTTACATGACCCTGGGTTTTTAAACATCTTTTAATAATAACAGGGTGGATTTCTTACACCATCAATTTGAGGAGAACCCAGAAGCATTATTAGTATGCTGTTGTTTTACCTATCCTAAATGATATGAAAATAACAGCAGTAGTGGCAGAAATACCTGGAGGTCAGCTACAGTACAGGTTCTCTATAAAGAGACTTTTGTTCATCTCTATGAACAATATATGAAAATTTCATGGAGACAAGTGCTATGCTTATTTGATGTGTGAGAAAGGCTTGAGACTGCCTCTTCATCTGGCATTGCAACCACTAAGACAAAGGACCAGAGCAGCTGTAGAGTTCTACAGCTACATTAGTCTCCCTACTCCAAATTCAGACATAAGCTAGAGTAAGGGAAGCATTTCCATTGGGTTTCTCTATGGAGGGTTAAGGCAAAAGGAGACACAAAGACTTTAAGTTCAAATGCTCTGGGGTATTTCAGTTCTATCCCCCTCTGAAGCCTCTGGCATTTATATGAGGATGGTTAAATTCAATTTTTTTAAGTCTCTATTTGATTTCAGATCTACTACATCTTAACATTGTTAGTAACCAGGACTCTAAGACAGTCAAATTTGTATCTTACCAACACCACCAAGTTAGTGAAATAAAAATTTTAATATTATTTAAAAATCTTCTTACCTTCACATCCTTGACATTCATCCTTGTTCCTTCCTTTCCAACAAAGATGTCATCAATGTCCACAAGGATGTACCGATCCAAGGACAAAGTGAGCCTCTTCCCTGACAAGAAGGCAATGGCGTCTATGAAGATGAGCTTGTGCAGCCAGAAGTTTAAGTTGTTGCCAAAAAGAACTCGCTGAATTCCATCATGCAGCCCCAGATCCTGAATCACCGTGGCATAGTATGGTTTGCTGGATGAAGAGGGAAGGGACTTTTCTGTCTGTAATTCAGCTAAAAGCACAGGCTGGTAGGTGGAATGATTATACTGGAAAATAGTCCAGTCTTCCCCAGGAAGAGGGCCTTTCTCAACTTTAGGGGCTTTGGTAATGTGCAGCAAAGGAGACTGAGGGTTGACAAAACAGTCCTTCAGCGCTAGGTTATTGAAAAGGTTCAATGGAAAGCCTTTGAGTTGTGTACTGGGCAAGCTGTTCTCATTGGCTTTATGAAAACCAATTATACTAACACTGTATTCCACACAGTATTTTTCTAAAAGCTCTCGATTCCATGAGTCCATGCTGACATATTTCAGAATGTTTTCATAAATAACTAAAATATATTTGCCTTTGCTATTATCTGTAAGAGGAGGTATATCTCCCTTTCCCGGGGCAATGACCATGTGGTATTGAAATCGGCTGGACTCCAAGATAGCAATGATGTCTTGACCCAGCTGTGAGTACTGACTCTCTACAAAGAGGAGCACAGTAGGATCAGTTTTGGATGTATCAATGGGTTTAACTGTTTTCAGATCCATAGACCGATAGGGTAGAATTTTGACGTCAGGGCATTCTGCTTCTGCGGTAGTTTCAATAAGCGCCATTTCCTGTTTATAGCCGGAGTAGAGGAAATAAGCAGAAATGACAATGCTCACCAAGCAAAAAGTAGCTAAGAGAACAATCAGTGTTCGAAAACTTCTCCGCAGCTTCACGATAAGATTCATCTTTTAAAATACTGCTTGGGAAGCTATTTCCAGTTTCTTTTCCTAAAGTGCCATCATGAATAATGTACGAGATGGTGCAAATACCACTTTCGAAAACTTCATGTAACCATGGCAAACCATGCAAAATGTTGGGAGTGATCACAACCAAGTTAATACTGGAAAGCAATGATGCCAGAGAGCCAAAGAAGAGATTCTGGATATGTCCAATATCAAAGATTGGCTGTAGAATCCTTTCAGTACTATCTGAAAAAGAGGGGGGCATAAAATGACTAAGTCAAAATTAGAAACTGAGCATTTACAGACATGCTCATCAGTGAAAAAGAATGCACATATAAAAGATAACTTCATTATGTTAATATGCTAAAATATTAATAACCAGATATTTTTTACTACTTAGATAATACATTTTTTTCATATCCTCAGGAGTATAAAACGTGATTTGATGTTGCTAAATTATCCATATACTTATGGAAACATTGCAATCATGTTTCAAATTAAACCCCAGAAAATACAGGGGTAAGCATTAGGGTAAAGTGTCAATTACCATTAACATTATTTCCACAGGGCTGGTAAATATCATGTACATAGTAATTAGAAAATAGGTGTTTGTGTAAGGTTGAACAAGTGGAACGAGTTCTTTAGCGTCTGAGATGACAAGCTGAGGACATTTTAGGTCACAGCAGTAGCTTTTTTCCTTAATAACAGATCCTTTTTGAAATCACAACGAGATGTTTGGCCCTGGTCAAAATAAAGCCAAAAGAGCGTGTCTCCCCTTCTCCATCCTGACATATAAAGCGAGTGATAAGTTATGGGTGAAAATACAAAATGAAGAAAAACATTCTTAGAGCCTTCTACGAGGCCAGCATGCTTAGCTGTGAAAAAACAGTAACAACAAAAAATTAAGAACTTGACATTTTTCTCAAAGCATATTCCTTATTTTTACCTATTTCTATAGTCATTGCTAATTTTTAACCAGCAATCAAATTATCTCCCAGCACTCTCTTTAGTACAAAAGAAAACAAAGTAGAGACTACTAAAAAGAAAAAAAATGTATCAGAAATTAGTTCATCACTAATGGACACATTTGTCCATCATCATCATCATCATTATTATTATTATTATTTTTTGGTACAAAAGAGTCTGACTTTAGCGAATACCTTTTTATATAAGTGCTCCTCATTCTCCTCAAAACTGTGATAGACTACTTTATGGGATTACTCATTTACCAAACTAATGTCCTTAAGAAAGTAATCAAAATAGTTCCTGCTCTCAATCTGTGACACAAACACTTTTGGGACATGCTACATTACAGAGAACTGAATTATCATGTTTTATAAGAGTTGCATATTTATCACACTGAAGAAATGTTGTGAGTTTCTAAACTTATTTTAAATTTGAGGAATCTGAGAAGCTAGAGGATATACTAAAAGATCTTTAGAAACAATGATTAAACATTACAATATAATAACAAAATGTCCATTTCACATTTTTATTTTCTGAAATGCATTCTTGATATTTAGTAAAGAAATGTCAACAATAAGTTGAAATAATGTTTGTTTCTGTTTTATATTTTGGTGAAAAGTATTTTAACCTATGTTCAAAGTCAACAATTTGAAATTTAAAAATTTCTACCAATCCATTAGTTCTTCAGATTTCAAATCTACTAATGGTTCTGAATTCTCCTCTGTGAAACACGGTAGATCAATTTGAAAAACCTCACTGATTACACATTTATTTTAAAAGAAAGTTATCTTCACATGACAGGGATTTACGTTAGGATAATTAATTGCTCACCAAGCTTTCACACAGTTCAAAATTCTGTTAAACGCATTGCTTTGTATTTTAATAAAAAGAAATAAAATACAACAATAAAAATATTTTAGTTTGCTTTGAAACATATAAAACAATTATATTCTACTCCTTAGTGTATGCTTGAAAATATCTATTAAAAAAGATTATGTTTCAAAAGATTTGGAGGTTGCCAAAGGTGATTATTCAGTCTTATATCCATTCCTAGATAGTTTCTCTAAGTTCTTACATTTGATTTAAAGTCCACTTACGCAAAAATGAGCTTCCCCTCCTCATATTGCCTACCCCACATGGTCTGAGAAGAACAAAAATCTATGACATTCACATACTTTAGGAGATTTGCTTGATATTTTATTATTATTATTATTATTATTATAGATTTATTTATTTGTGCATACAGAACTGGTGTACAGGCCAGAGGCTCAGGGGCGGCGAGAGGCTTCACCAGAGACAGAGTAGAGAGCAGAACAGGCAGATCTATGAAGTATACTGCTGAGGGGAGCAGCGGGCGGGTCAGGAGAGGTCTGCACGCCATGTGAATCTCCTCCGGGGCAGGAGGGGATCGAACTCATGCGGAAGTGGCTTTAGCTTCTCAGTGCTGTGCTTTAACCCGCTGCACCACCAGATAGGGCCATGCTTGGTATTTTAAAAGGATATTTAATCAGGAATTGGAAAACAATATGTGCAGGATAAGTCAACTTTGTTTAATCTTTATTCTGACATCAATAATGTGATTTATATGACTTATTTTTGAGATGTCACTTTTGCATATTAGAACAGCTCATCCTACCAAGAAGTAGTGAAAAAGAAATTAAAAGCATATGGAACAAGAATCTGCCAATAACAGAATAAATAAAATTTAAATGTGACATTTATTGAACATTAATATGATCAAAGTTAAAGGAATGATAGATACATATCAACACAGCTGTGCATAAATGCATTAGAGAGATATCAGGTGGGGGGAGAGGGAGTGGGAAAGAGAGAGAGAGAGAGAAAGAGAGAGAGAGACTTATCAGTGAGGTCCCAACCTTGGTTTTCTGCATAGAGTTCTCAAAACCTCTCTAAATCCCTAGGTAATAAAAGCCCTAGGAGCATCATCTGCTCTAATATTTGATCTTCTATCCTGGCTCCTGACACAGAACTTCTAAATCCTTTGGATCTTCCTTCCTGGGTAATGTGTCTTTTGTCCTAATGAGGGAATATTTGGTGGACTTCTAACGGGAACTGGACACCAGAAGGACCAAGCTTTTCGACGTCTTCATAAAAATCCCAATAGCAGGGGCTTTGGAGTGTTTTGATGAGTTTGCTCAGGGCCTTTCCAGATCACCCACCCCCCTATATCTCTTGCAAACTAGCTGTTCATCTCTGCTCCTTAGCAGATAATAAACAGGTCGGAGTAAGTTAGTTAGTAGAGCACCTAGTTGGTTTGACAAAATGTTGCTTGGTGCAGGAAATGAAGCTACGTATGTGTTGCCAAGATTGTTGTGTGTGTGGTGGTGTGTGAGAAGAAGAAGAAACACATGGTAGGAAATATTGGTTTTCTGTGCATTTGCTCAATATTATGTTCTTTAGAAGGAAAAAAAAACAAACAAACCTGAACTAGGTATAAAATCAGTGATTAAAATAAATGAGCCAAAAACTTAGTAATTACAACTGAATAACAACTTACTTGTCAACAAGTTCAATTTCAATTTTTTAAATTTAGATCTTCAAAGCCTGATCTATCTATTCCACAGTACAGAAAGAAAATCGAAAAGTGAATTGAATCAGCTCAGAAGGAGCTGTCTTTGACCTTGGGATCACTCAAAGTGAGCAATAACTCAGTCAGCCTAGACTATTCATGATATACAGAGAAAACATTTTATCAAACACCTTGTTTCTACATGCTTTATGCATGTTTCTTTGCTTTTGAAAATAACTGTAAAAAATTAAGTTATGGGCCCTCTCTGGTGGCACAGTGGGCTAAAGCACAGCACTACAAAACTAAAGTCACTTCAGCTTGAGTTCGATCCCTGCCCCGGAGGTGACCCACATGGCGCGGCAGATCTCTCCTGACCCGCCCACTGCTCCCCTCAGCAGTGCACTTCATCCATCTGCCTGTTCTGTTCCCTGGCCTGTCTCTGGTGAATCCTCTAACAACTCCTGCACCTCTGGTCTGTACCCCAGTTTCCTATGCATAAATAAATGAATCTTTAAAAAATAAGTTATAACTGGTATTAATGAAGAGGCAGTTTTAATTTTTAATTGTGCTGTGCAAAGATTTAATGTTTACACACACACATTAATGGCAACTGTACTCTCAAAAAAGAATTGCAACAGTTATAACCATCTTTCAAGAGAAATGAATTTTTCCCTTTCATTTATAAGACAGCATCACATAAACAAAAATGAAATGGAACAGAAAAGTTTTGATGTTCTTCACCAACTGCCAGGACAGTGTTCTATGTACTTATGTTTTTCAATCATATGTTTGTGCACCATTATTTCTGTATCTGGGTTCCAATATAAGATTATTTCTTCTTCTGGGGGATAATCAAAAGGTTTTGAGAAGCAGTACTTGGGAAGGAAGAGCTAATTTAAATGATTTAACCTGGCTCCAAGAGAATTATAAATATCACAACAAGTTTTAGCAAAATATGAATATGTTCTTTTAAGATTCTAATGTTTCAGAAAATATCTATTATTGTTTCAATACATTTTGAGAGCAGGAATTGGTTTCTATCTCCTGACTTTAATCACTGATCACTCTTTCAGCTTCCAGGCCATGAAATGCTATGAAATTACTTTCAAAATTCATGTATAACATTATTTTTTGTTTTAAAAATGAAGGGACAAAGTGATGAATAATTGTTCTGTTTAGTCAGAGTCCAAATACTGCACTAACTTCATGATTTTCTACAAAGATGTTTTTCCTCCCCTTGTAAATAACCAGTTTATTATTCCTAACTTTTATACCCTTCATATTTTCTTGATTTCAGTGACATAATATAAATTTCCTTTCATTCCCAAAATGTGCATTTTTATCAGTAAAAACTCCTGAAAGTGTCATTTCAAACATAATGATAACATTACTACTCCCATATTATGTTGTAACATAATATTCTACTAGGTACATAGCTCAGAGCTACCAGCTATATTCACACTTCAAAAGATTATGAAGGCAACTCAGTAAATAGAAGAGTAAATGTCATACAATTTCTTTTAGCACCTTTTTTCTGGATATATATATATATGTGTGTGTGTGTGTGTGTGTGTGTGTGTGTATATATATATATATATATATATATAAAAATAATATAAAACATGCGTACTGACCATTTTTTCTGTTTGTTTTCTAAAGCAGAGGAACAAGATTTTTTTTAAAAAGGAAGAGGCTTATAACATACTGTAAATATCTACATGTTCATTATAATTTATTAGAAAAACATGGA